GCAAACCATATTTCAGTCTGCAAGGGACTAAGGGTAGAAATTCCCCTTCCTGTAGGACAATGACGGTCAACATGAAGACAAAGTAACACTGGGGTGGATTAAAACCAGGAACTTGAATGTCTTAGGATGTTCAAGTCAAAGGCCAAATGTCAATTTAAGAATTTGTGGCAAGTCTTGAAGGTTGCTGTTCACCAGTAGTATCCATCCAGCCTGACAGAGCTGGAGTTTTGCCTGGAAGAATGGAGAAACATTGCAGAATCCAGATGTGCAAAATTACAGCGATGTACCCAAGAAAACTCACAGCTGTAATTGCTCCAAAGATGCCAGTTTGTTTTTATTTACTCAACTGTTGTGCTACAATAAAAATATTTTGCTCCTTTACTGAGTTGAGTGTACATCAAGTGGCAACCATGCCAGCTAAATCTATTTTAATTCCAAGTAGCAATGCAACAAAATGTGGAAAAAATCAAAGCAAGGTGAATACCGTAAATACCCTTTCTGTCTGAAATTCTAGGCTGCTATCCTTCTGTTTTCTGATTGGTATTAACTGCTGCTATGAAGGCCCATGCCCCTAAAGAAAATTATGGCACAATAGCTATTTGAAAGGCATTCATGGGAAAGCTGTTCCAGGAAAAAGTCACAAACAAAGAGCAGCTCACCATACAGATAAGAACAGTCTCTCCCTCCTAGAGAACAAATGAAATTCTCTGGTGATTTTTTTCATGGTTTGCTCTATTGTAAGGATTCAGCTGCACTAGTCAGTCCAATGTGATTTTCAAGGTTATCTTCATAACCATTTATCAACACTGCAGTTAAGTCTAGTCTAATGTGTAGTCCAGCCAACCTGGGTTGACAGATCTATAAACATAATGGTCCATCCCAAATACTGTGCAGAAATAATAGAATTCTTGAGATAACATAAATAAATAAAATGTTGTGTGTTTTTCAAGTCACTGTACTATACTTGTTAGAGTATTGGATTGGGGACTTGGGGGAAACCGGATTCTAGCCTTTACTCAGCTATGGGTGACTTTGGACCAGTCGTTCACTCTCACATCTAACCCACTTCACAGAGTTACTGAGAGGATAAAATGGAACTTAAATAGGCCACCTTGGATTCCTCACAAAAGTAAAAAAGTAAGGATATAAAAGTAGTGGAAATGATGATGACAACTTCCTAAAACCAACAACCTAGTCCGACATTTCTTTGTCGGAAATGGAAAATCCTCCATATTCTTGCTAGCTTCATAAAATTTTCCAGATTTGAGCAGTAAACCATTTGATGGCATTTGGAAAATTAATCCATGGGCTACCTTGATCTATCAAGCAACTAAGACAGGGTTGCTTCCACCCTGCATTCTGGAAAGCCACATGTTTAAAAAATCTTAGAAGATCGATTTGTTATAAGAAGTGGCATTTAAAATTGTTGCAATGTTCATTACTCACTATATATATGAAAGTGTGTTCTTACTCATCAGTGTATGATTTTTTTAACATGCATGATGGACAAATAGACACCTGAAACACTAACTGTGGGATGCCCTTCCCAGGCAAGGGTTAGAAATAACAAGAACCACTCAAAGCAAATGTCATACTGATTTAAAAAAATAGCAGTTCTGTTTTACTGTTGTCACAGACAGTATGAGGGCATACACAATACAAACATATCGGTTTTATACAATTTCAATTGTCATTAAAGAATCCTGGCAATTATAGTTTAGTAAGAAGTGCTGGAAATTCTTTGTTAGAATTCTAACTTGAAGACCATGTCCTATCAGGGACCTTTGAAGGAGCTGCAGAAGAGACAAGCGGCAATGGGACAGGCATCTTCAGGGGCTGTCACATAAGCAACACCAATTATCTCTGGAGCTGTGACTGGTCCCCATTCTCTCCACATTCAGGAACAAGGCCAAGATACCTTTTTTAAAGTCAGTTTTTAAAAGTGTTATTACAGTTTTAATGTTGCTTTTAAATGTTGTATTCTGTT